ATCTAATGCAAGACTTTTCCAGGCCATTTGTGACAACAAGGTTAGTGAAGCCTCAGACAGTTCCAAGCGAGCCAAGATTTCACATTAGGTTAAATGAGGGCGTCTGCTCATGCATGCGCATCCCAAAGTCTGGCATCGATGATGCGCATTAGGCCATTGGGAACATGTATGCATGCATATTCTACAGTACACCATTAGGATGTGCATCAGGCCTTTGGGATGCGTATGCATGCACGGACGCACTCATTTAACCTTGTGTGAAATTTTGCCTCCCTCGTAACTATATGAGGCTTCACGTTGTTCGCACAAATGGCCTAGAAAAGTCCAGCACAGGATGTGCTCTCGGGACCTATTCCTTCCTCATCTGCTCAATCTTAACCAAGGAACCCACCAAACCTATCAACCTTGTGTTGCATGGCCAAGTGCATGCTGCTAGTGGCGCCAAGTTCGTTAGCCATGTCGCAGAGCGCATCCTACACCAACTGATCCTACACCTACTGGTGTGGTTGGAGGCATCGAGGATGCAGCCGACACCGGTGAAAGAAACTTGTTTCTTGCTCATCGTCATGGCTCTGTTCTGCAACTTGGGGCCACCTACGTAGCCGAAAAGCAAGAGGATTCAGAACTATTCGAACCTATCCACCAGGTACTTGACGCGGCCCTCGTAGGGCTCTAGGAGGACCAGCATTGTCTCCTCCATCTTGATTTGCACCAGTATGGTAACCATCCGCACCCAAGAGGCAAAGGCCTCACTGCCCCATCGTTCTCAGACCGCCTTGTTGCAGGCCTTGTTGTCACGCGCCTTGCTGTAGTCCGGCACATGTTCTTGGTGATGGTGCAAGAATCCAACCTCCTACTGGACGGTGACCTCTTCATCGCCGTCAGTGTCTTCTTGGAAGAGACACGGGCGGGTGGCGATCTAGAGCTGCACTTGTTGGCCGCCTTGCCACCGGTGTCAACAACTGCCACCTAGGCGATCTTGCGATGCTACGACGACATCTCCACGAGCGCCAATAGCCGCCGCGGTTGTCGTCCTCTAGCTCTCGCCGCCTCAGTATCCATCATCCCTGACCCCCGACCAGATACGGATCAACCAGGACTCCAGCAGGAAAACAAAAACTCATGAAACGGTGAAACCCTGAAAGGAGTAGGGGTTGGGCGCATCCACGTCCGCCGCCTACCTACGCCTCGTCCGGTTCTCGCGCGACTGATTGATCATAACACATCTTTCGCCTAGTTGTGCTGCTTATGCCCACTTATTGCTCGCCGCTCAAGACTCGGAGAGTTTTTAGTTAGAGGGACACGTAAATAATTTTTAATTGGCTCTCATTCACCCTCTGGTCGTCGTTTCGGTCCTTCATCATATTTCTCGGCATCCCTATAGTTTTGTTTTAAAAAATTCTATTTTTTTGTATTGAAATGAACCAAATATATAACTCCCACAAAGATTTATTCGAAGGCGTCCCATTGTACTTTATATTAAAATGAACCAAATATAACTCCCACAAAGATTTATTCGAAGGCAGAGATATTTGATTTACTAGTAGTTGCTTGTACTTTCTAAAAAAAGGCTCCAATTGCTATTATCTCTTTGTTTATCATAGTGTTGCACAGATGCAACTTTGTCCATTAGCTCGTTCCTTGAATTTTGTTTACATCGATGGTGGGAGAAAGAAGATTGGGCACGACTCCTCCTTTGCTACACACATCAAACTGTAAAAATGGTAATATTCATTCTAGTATCTACTTACATGTTCAATCCTACGCAAGTTAAACGTCGTGAATCCAATCTTTCTCTTATATATATACAACTAGTTAGCGTGTTCGCGTGCGTTGCTACGAGACAACTAAATCTTTTATACTAAAAACACACGGATCGCACGATAAGATAACAATACTGTTAAATTAAATGCCGACATCAAAGTGACATTTAATTCAAAAAGCAAAGTTTGTGAAATTAACATAGTCACGGAGAGCGCGACGTCGCAGGCTCACAAACTCTACTGTATAGACTTTTTCGTGATACGGCTAAGATAATATTTTATATCGGCAGAAAGAATTCTGTGATATCCATTTCTTTCATGCGCCAATAAATCCATGAATAAGTTCCACTGTATCTCCATATAATCATATACACACAGGTTCGAGTATATATGTAAATAGGTTCGTGCCCGTGCGTTGCTACGGGATAGCTAAACTTTTGTACTAAAAACACACGGATCGCACGATAAGATAACAATACAGTAAAAGTATATGACCGACGTTAAAGTGACATTTAATCCAAAAAGTTAAGTTTGTGAAATTTATATAGTCGCAGAGAGCATGGAGTCGTAGGCTCACAAACTCTACTGTGTAGATCTTTCCGTGATGCGGCTAAGTTCATTTTTTATACCGGCAGGAAGAAATTTCCGATATCCATTTCTTTCGTGCGCCAACAAATCCACGAATAAGTTCCACCACATCTCCATACCATCATGTATACGGCGCTGGCAATCGAATTAGCCACAACTTATGTAATTAGTTTTATAATTAGCTCATGTTTAGTCCTCCTAATTGATATCTAAAAATTCAATGTGACAGGAACTAAAGTTTAGTCCTGGGATCCAAACACCCCATGGGCCAGTTCGCTGGTCTGGTTTTTAGACCAGCCGGCTGGTTCCTCCTCACAGGGGTACTATTCATCAACGAGCCGCTACAGTATTTCTCTCTCACACAACCAGTCGCTACAGTATTTTGGCTTATTTTTTCCAGACAAGCGAACGGGGCCCATAACTCTCGACTCCTGCTGGCTGCTCACTTGCACCACCATGCTTATGTGTCTTCACGTATATACTTTAATGCCAGAACGTTTAAGATGGTCTTTATTGTTCACCCTTTGAAAATATCATAACTTTAAGGTTGTCATTTGTGTATGCTTTAGAATTGGGATGCTTTGCACTGATCCATGAGGGTGTCCATGAGAGTCAAAATTTTGTATGCCATTATGATGTCTAAGCTTACCAATCAGATAGAGACGAACTTGATTGTTAAAATATTTTCAACACTGCTTTCATATACTCCCTCTGTCCAAAAATAGAATTCATTCTCGCTTCCCGAGAAGTCAACTTTTTTTTAACTTCGACCAATTATATATAAAAGAATATTAATATTTATAATACATAATTAGTATCATTACATAGACCATTGAATATATTTTCATAATAAATTTATTTAGAGATATAAATATTGCACATATTTTTTACAAACCTAGTCAAAGTTGAGAAAGTTTGACTTGCACACATCCCATAACGACTTATATTTTGGGGCAGAGGAAGTATATGCTAATGGTAGTAGTCAACTGGAAGTCGTGATGAACACAACAATACTTTCATATTATATGCTAATTGGAGCATGAAGAAACGTAGGGGGATGGATCTATATACGAATGGTGGGAATATTCGTTTAGGAAATTACAGAAGGTTCAACAGTCTTACCATGTATAACCTGCATATCTTTTATTTGGCACCACTGATGTTCTCAAGGAGCAGCCACTTTTTAATTTCAGGTCTGTATACTGGAAACACTAAAATTAAGGGTCAACCTCATTGAGTCGTCTTGCTTGATCTTTGCCAATTGTTTCCTTCCATGCATGTGGCCTCATGTGATTGATTTGTTTCCTTCAAAGCAGGCGGGGATCACAGGGATGATAGTTTCTTTTTCTATCGCGCGGGGTATCGCATGGCCGGAAGGGAGGAGTCTTGCTTTATCTTTGCCAATTGTTTCCTTCCATGCATGATTATTGTTTTCTTCCATGCATGTGGCCTCAGGTGATCGATTTGTTTCCTTCAAAGCAGGCGAGAATCGCAGGGATGGCAATTTCTTTTTTATCGCGCGGGGTATCGCATGGCTGGAAGGGAGGAGCGACCAAAAAAAAGTCGCACCAAAAATTAGTCTTACTTTTAGTCTTTTTAGTTATAGGAGAATATGAATATGCTTTATTTCGGCATCTGCAATTTACATGTCTTGAGTGTAAAAGCCTACAGTATGTCACAAAATTTCTCTCTGTTAATAATGGGCCTTGGAATGGGGTGGATAGCTCTCCTTTCGCTTGGCCTTTAGCTTTTGTTTGGGAAGCTACGATCCACTCGCCATTGGCCATGCTATTTTCTCCTACATACAATATCCATTGTTGTTCTTGCACAAGGATTGGAGGATATGTTGGACACACTCAGCACTAGAAGACTCGACAAACCTTGCTCAGGATCTGACTTTCCCAATACGGCCAACCAGCGCCCGTCTCTCTCCACGCGTCACTCCGCCGCGTGGCCGGCCGTCGCCGGCCGGGAACAACCCAGTCAGTCTCCTCTCCCGCTGCCGCCATAATTTAAACTCCCACGGAGCACCAAATGCCCGTCCTGCCCCTGCTTCTCTCCGCACCGACTCCGGGGCCGCGCGTGCCTGTTCCGGTCATTTCCCGCCTCACGTGACCCGCTTGCCGAGTCCACCTTCACCTCAGAACAAACCCGTCCCCGTCGCCGTGCGCTCGCAGCCGCAGCGCACCTCACTGCCGCAGCGCGACGCGATGGCCGGGCCGACGCCGACCTACTCCGCGATCGTGTCCCACACCGCCGCCTTCCTCGCCGGGCTCATCGCCGACCCGCTCCTGCGTCGGCACCTCCTCTCGGCGGCCGCGGCCGCGGACGGCGGCGGGGGCAGCAGCACCCGGCGGCCACGCTGCAGGCGCTGTCCCTCGTGTCGGACGCGCTCGACACCGCCGCCTCGGGCTCGCCGTCCCCCCCCGTCGTCGCTCCGCGCCGCGGAGCGCCTGCTGCGGTCGCTGCCGGCCTCCACCCCGCTCTCCTGCCTCCTCCTCGCGCTGGCCCGCGCCGCGCGCCGCGGGCGGCGGCGGGGCGGCCGCCGCCGCCGTGCTCGACCTCTTCGCGCTGGACCCCGCGCTGGCGCGCCACGAGCTCGCGCCAGCCGCCTTCGAGGCGCTCTTCGCGCCGCGGCTCCTCCCCGTCATGCGCCACTTCGCCGCGCGCCGCGCCGCGGCCGCCGCCAAGGCCATGGACGAGGAGGGCGGGTCGGACGAGGCCATGGCGGTGCCGGCGATGCGAGTCCTGTCGCTCATGAGCGGGGCGCAGGCGCAGGAGATGCGGGCGCTGGAGCGTGAGTACGAGAAGGTGCTCGACGCCAACTGCAAGGCGTACGCGCTCTACCTCAAGAGGATCCTCGAGGCCCGCGAGCCAACGGCGGCGGTGTCGCCGTCGCCGTCGCCGTCGCCGCAGCCTCCTCCTCCGGAGCTCGTGTTCGGCGTCGGGGCCGACGAAGACAGTCGCGGCGACGAGGACGCCGCGCCGGAGAACGACGAGTCCGCTGCCAGCTCGCAGAGCGACCTACGGGACAATGTAATACCGCGACACGCTCCGTTCTCCTCACTCGCCCCCATACCCATTCTCAAGCACACGGCGTCATGACGAGATCCCGGTGAGCTTTTTGCAGCCGATGTGGGCGGAGACGGAGGAGCAGCCGGGCGATCTTTACCCACGGCAGCAGAGCAGCGTCAGGGGCAGGAGGAACCTCATGAGGCCGCCGAGCCTGTACCCGCAGCGCGTGCCGCCGCACCTCATAGTGCAGCAGCAATCGCCGCCGGTGGGCAGAGCGAGCCCGGCGTCAAGGATCCGAGCGGAGCACCCGCGGTCGCGGTCGCCGGGGGCGCCATCAGACGACAGCCTGGAGGAGTCTTCCTCCGAGCTCTTTGCCGGCAAAGAGGTGCGTGCTCTGCAACTTGCATTGGCGTCCATCGAGACGCAAGAGCTTACTATACTACTAGTAGTTAATTGCATGATTAGAGTTCAGAGATTCAGGGCAGTTTTTTTTCAGTTAAGAAAAGGAAAACGAGAAGCGTGGGTGATTGCACTAAAATTGTGTTGTCGGTCGTTTTGTGATAATTTTCAATTTTTCTAAGGTAACATGGCAGCAATTTAAAGAATTGGACAAATTAATCTTAAATGTAGGTTCAGGACCCTTTGCATAACAAATGTTCAGAGAACGTGATTAGAGGAGAGCATTGAATAATTGCAAAATATGAGGATTCGTCCAATTAGACCATTTGAGTACAGCGAGAGTACTACGCTGCATATAAACCACTCAATGCATCTATATGAGTTGTTCCATCCAAGTGATCTAGCTTAACCAATGGTTTTTTTATGCTTTAATAATCAATGGGTTTTTTAGTGTTACTTAAATGGGGTCGTATGTGTAGTGCTCGCAAAATATGCCTGTGTCAACGCCTTTAGGTTTTCAGAAAGTTGGAACCACCTACCGATGTAGGAAACAAAAATCACTCCACCATGCCTTATATAAGTTCAAAAACATAACCACCGTAACCAAAAAAAAAAACTTGCCTTAAATAAAATTCATCAACAGTGCAGTCAGCATAAAACTACTTTTTTATTGTTATCTTAGCATTTTGCCATTGAAAGAAATCTCAACGCTAATTATCAAGGTTAACAAATTTCCACGTCATTAAGCAGAGAGAATAAAATAGAACAAGCACCTCTCTATGTGTTGATAAATTACCCACCAGTATCATTGCACAAAAATCTACCCAGAAATAGCATTATCTCTCTCCTTATTTAGTTTGTAGACATGTAAGATATATGTAAAGTTTTTTGTTCATTATTTGTAAAATCTCTTGAATTTGAGAGATTTTAAGAATATATTACATATAAAAAATTAATGGTTAAAGATACTTATCATAGACCATGCAAAGTTAAACTCGATTAAGTTTTTTTTACTGGAGGTAGTATGTGGTTCTCCCTTTTCACAATATTAATTATCATTCTGGCTAACCTCACACAAAATAAGAATAAGAAACATTAAAGAGCGAAACTATAGGTACCCCTCCATCCCCAAATAAATCAACATGAGATGTCCTAGAAGCATCTCCAAGAGTTCACAATAAAGCATCCCAATCGATTTTTGGCGAGGGTAGAAAAAACCCATCTCCAAGAGTTCTCAATCTCACTTCTCAATCTTTTGGCACTTAGAAAAAATCACCGAAAGCGCGGATATATAAAAGTGGTTAGAATGATTTAGAAATAGTATAGGATTCGTGATGTAAAATTGTCTTCTATATTTTAAGAATGAATTATTGAAAATTGTTGGAGATGGTCTTATTTATTCATTCCAATACTTTTTTGGCGAGTTGGAAAACTCCATAGTTTTGGAAAGAAATTCTTGAGAACTCTTAGAGATGCTCTAAGTCAAATTTTTGTAACTTTGACCAACTTTATAGGAAAAAATATGAACACCTATACCACCAAGCAATGCATTATGAAAATAAGGTCCATGGTGTATCTGATGGTGCTAATTTGCATTATAAATATTGGTGTTAGTTTCTATAAATTCGATCAAAATTAAAAAAAGTTTGACTTAAGATAACTCTATAAGTTGATTTATTTGGGGATGGGGACAATTCATCACAGTCCTTGATGTCTTGCATCCCCATTGGCAGATATATTAGGCTAGGGAGACGTGACTGAGTGTTGCAAATACAAAAAATTTAGAGACTTAAGGAAGCTTTTGAACGTGAGAACTAAAAGTAATTTAGGGGAAAATCCTCCTAGTGCGCCTCATGTAAAAAACATTTCTCTCTTAATACAAATACACGTAAATCTTTTGGGCGATCGAGAAAAAAATAGGAGAAAAAATAGATCCTAGAATGAAAAATATTGTGAAACTTAAGGAGTTTAACTTCAGTGTATGTTGAGTAAGTACAGTCCAAAAACGATACTATTTTGTGATTGGACAGAGTATATTGAACTATTGACACATTAGATAGATGGTAATAAGTAAGAGATGTAAACCATCTTTAGTACAGAAGGCTACATTTATTTTAGAGGAAAATTTACGGGGATCATTCAAGTTGGCAAGTTCTACTTTTAAAATATCAATTCTGGGTCCATAAACTTGGCTTCGGGTGCCATCGAGGTCCAAACCCGCTCGGGAGGCTGACGTGGCGCGCTAGCGTGGCTCCTACATGTGGGGCCCACATGTCAGTTGGTTATATTTATGTTTATTTTTATTTTTTGCTGACGTGGCACGCCGATTTTTTTCAAAAAATAATTCATAACTTTTTTATATGAGCTCATATTAAGAAAAACTTTATATCAAAATTGTAGCCCTCGACAGGATCTACAGCTTTGTAGTGGAATTTTTTTGAATTGAAACTATTTAGAGTCCCAAAATATTGTTGTAAGTGCACAGATTTTAAAATTTGAAATTTAGAATTATCCAACAATCTCGAACGTTGACATGGTGTATATCAGAGTTATAGTTCTCCATACGATCTAAAAATTTGTAGTTGAAAAGTTTTTTATTTGAAGTTGTTTAGTGTCACAAATATGTGTTCTAAGTTTATAGATACTAAACAAGTTTAAATAAAAAAACTTTTTCAACTATAAAGTTGTAGATTATATTGAGAACTATAACTTTCATATACATCATGTCAACATTCGAGATTTTTTGATAATTTTAAATTTCAAATTTTAGAATCTGTAAACTTGCATCATTATTTTAGAACCCTATAAATAGTTTCAATTCAAAAACTTTTCAACTACAAAGTTGTAGATCCTGTCGAGGGCTACAATTTTGATATAAAGTTTGTCTTAATCCAAGCTCATATAAAAAAGTTATGAATTATGTTTTGAAAAAGTCAGCGTGCCACATCATCAAAAAATAAAAAATAAACAGAAATATAACCAACTGACATGTGGGGCCCACATATAGGAGCCACGGCAGCGCACCACGTCAGCATCCAGAGCGTGTTTGGACCCGTTTGGACTTGGATGACACCTGAAGCCAAGTTTATGGACCAAGTTGAAGGACTGCCCGTGAATTTTTCTTTTTCTTTTAGATTTTACATCGAAGACCATATACACAACCATTTTTTAACTACATAGACAGTTGCTAAATAAGGGAGTTGTTATGTTTCAAATACCTAAATTTTTAGAAATTTCAGGCAGCAATCTTACACGATCAATCACAAGTGACAATTTCAAAGAAAAATATAGCCAAACAATAAAGAAATATATGTTATCTGAAAAATATTTAAAAAAATCAAGCACCTGAGATATAGAAGTGGTTAAATAAAGTTACGTGTGCACAATAGGTAAGTGGTGTACAAAGTAAAAGTAGTGGTGGTACTAGTACGTCTCAAACGAGCCATTTGTCTTTGATTCATCGGCATCATCGCAGGGGAGTTGGCACTTGAATATTCGAGTGTGATTCGTCTTTATTTTTTCCCTCTCTGCTGGAAGCTGCAGAGCTTTGGCATGCCAAATCTCGGAGCACGCGCGCATGTCATGTGTGCCCTGAATTTGTCAATCCTAGGAACGTGCGTTGACAAGGAAATCTACTCGATCAAACCAATGCCAAAGAGCATGTCAAAAAAAAAAACAATGCCAAAGCTTGACAGCATGCTTCCAGCGCGCGGTTTAATTTGATTTGAGTTGCCAATGCCGCCTGCCTTGTCTCGTAGGAAAAGATCGTGGCGCCGCCACTGTCCTCCTCCAGCAGCCACGCCCACGCGCCGACGCCGGCCGGCTGTCTCCGGAGCCAGCGAGGTAAGCAAGCCACCGCCACCACCACCACAGCTGCCACTGCTGCTGATCCCAAGGCGATTTCACTAACAAACACGCACGTACATATATACCAGCAGCAGCTCCCCAGCGCGCGGCAACGACGACGACGCCGTCGACACGCCGGGGCCGCTGCCGACGCCCAAGGACTTCGTGTGCCCGATCACGAGCCAGGTGTTCGACGACCCGGTGACGCTCGAGACCGGGCAGACGTACGAGCGGCGCGCCATCCAGGAGTGGCTGGACCGGGGCAACGCCACCTGCCCCATCACCCGCCAGCGCCTCCACGGCGCGCAGCTGCCCAAGACCAACTACGTCCTCAAGCGCCTCATCGGCGCCTGGCGCGACCAGCAGCAGCCGCAGCGGCGGCCGTCCCCTTCCCCTTCCCGTTCCCCGCCGCCGGCCACGCCTCCTCCGGCGACAACCGGCATGGCGGGCGACAGCCCCGCGCCGCCTCCCACCAGCGTCAGCGCGCAGGCCACCTCGTCGCCGTCCCCGGAAGCCAACACCAGCGCCAGCGCGCCGTCTCCCACCAGCGTCATCGCGCAGGCCTCGCTCGAGAGCGCCGTGGCCGAGCTCCGCGCCGCCGTGTCCTGCCTCTGCACGTCCGAGGACCTGGCGCAGTCCGAGCGGTCGGTGCTCAAGATCGAGCGCCTCTGGCGGGACGCCACCGCCGCCGGTAGCTCCGATGCCGAGCCGGCCATTCTCGCCGCGCTCGCCAGGCCCGCCGTCGTGAACGGCTTCGTGGAGATCCTTTTCAACTCCGTCAGCGCGCAGGTGCTGCGCGTCGCCGTCTTCCTCCTCGCCGAGCTCGCATCCCGGGACGACGCCGTCGTGCAGACGCTCACCAGGGTGGACTCCGACGTCGACTGCCTCGCCGCGCTCTTCAAGAAGGGCCTGGCGGAGGCCGCCGTGCTCATCTGCCTGCTCACGCCCGCGCCCGAGCAGCTCGTCGAGATGGACCTGGCGGAGGCGCTCGTCGCCACCATCCGCCGCGGCGGTGACGAGGACCCGCTCAAGATGTGCGTCAGCCCCAAGGCCGCCTCGGTCATCCTCCTCAGCCAGATCCTCGTCGAGGCCGCCGGCGCGGAGGACAGCTCCACGTCGCCGGTGCCCAGGTCCGCGCTGCTGTCCGAGAGGTTCATTCGGAGCCTCGCCGCCAGCCTGGAGGCCGAACCGGTGGAGGAGAGACTAGCCGCCATGCGGATCCTCCTCAGGTGCATCTGGGAGGACGGCCACTGCCGGAGCAGCATCGCCGAGAAGGCGTCCCTCGGCGCCGTCCTCGACGCCTTCCACGTCGTCGGCGACGCCGACAAGATGGACATCGTGCGCTTCCTCTACGAGCTGCTCAAGCTGAAAAAGTACCAACTCCTGGATCCCAAAAATTCCATTAATTTCTTTCAACTTCTTTTTTTCGAGAACGGATTGCATCTGTATTTCATTAAGAGTAATTTCTTTCAACTTCTTTATGTATCGAATGATTATTCGATCAGGCGATCGGCGGCGGAGCGTCTTCTCCGCACCATCAAGGAGGGTAGCTCCTTCAGCATGATGCACACGCTGCTCGTGTACCTGCAGTCCGTGCCGCCGGAGCACAGCCCTGTCGTGGCGGGGCTGCTCCTCCAGCTTGATCTCCTGGTGGAGCCGAGGAAGATCAGCATGTACCGCGAGGAAGCCGTGGACTGCCTCATCCAGTGCCTGAAGAACACCGACTTCCCGCGGTGCCAGCTCCTTGCCGCCGAGACCATCATGTGCCTCCCGGGGAAGTTCTCGTCGTCGGGGAGGCCTCTCGCCCGGTCCACGCTGCTGAAGCTGGCCAGGGTCAAGGAAAGGTACCGGCAGTCGCAGGACCTGAGCTCCGCTCGCGCCGACGGCGAGGACGAAATGGTAGGCCGACGCCGCTGAATTGTCGAGCGCACGAAGAACGTTCGCCATGTCTGAAGAACTCTGAATCTCGCAGGAGGAAGGGAAGGCCGCGTCTGAGTGGGAGAGAAAGGCGGCGTACGCGGTGGTGAGCCACGAGTTCGGGCTGGTGTTCGAGGCCCTCTCGGAGTGCCTCAGGACCAACAACGCGGAGCTGTTCACGACGAGCCTCGTGTGCGCCACCTGGCTCGTGTACATGCTCTCCCTCCTCCCCGACACCGGCGTCCTAGGGGCAGCCCGGGTCTGCCTGCTCCGCCAGTTCGTCGTCATGCTCCGCTCCGCCAAGCACGGCAGCGACAGGGTCCTCGCCATGGTCGCGCTCAGGAGCTTCATGAACGACCGCGGTCCGTTTCGGTTCATCAACCATTCTTTCTTCTTCTTCTTCAATTCCTTCTCTTGTGCACAACATACATTTGCTGAACATTGTCAGTAAACCTTACCTTATCTGTGAACTGAACCTCGGAATGTGATGTGCAAATTTCTTTGTAGAGGGGATGCACGACATCACGACGTACATCAAGGACGTGCTCAAGACGCTGAGGGAGCTGAAGAAGTCGTCCGGCCTCGCGTTCGAGATGCTCAAGCTGCTATCAGACGGCCAGGAATCCAGCTCTGTAATGGCTCTCAACTACCTGCATTGCATTCCCAATTTTCAGGCTCTATATACACTGCAGCCGTCAGATTTACTGACGACAAAAGATCTCTCTGAATTTCCCATTGGCCATTGCAGGACATGTGGAGCCACAAGGAGATCAACCAGGTAGACTGCAGCGCAAACGGCGAGGTGACGTCGGTCGTTTACCTCAAGAACTACATCTTCTCCGGCCACTCTGACGGCACCCTCAAGGTATGGGAAGGGAGCGAAAGCATCCTTCGTCTTGTCCACGAGGCTCAGGAGCACGCGAAGGCCATCACCAGCTTGTCAGTCCTGCACTCGGAGGAGAAGCTCTACAGCGGCTCACTGGACAGAAGTATAAGGGTACGTACGTAGCCACGCTTCTTTTCGTGGCAAGATTCAGCAGCTGAGCTGACACTGCATGGATGGCAGGTGTGGCAGTTCCGGGACGGCGTGCTCCGGTGCGTGGAGGTCCATGACACGAGAGACCCCGTGCAGAGCCTTGCCGTCGCCAGCGCCGTGGCCTGCTTCGTGCCGCAAGGCGCAGGCGTGAAGGTGCTGAGCTGGAACAGTGGCAACTCCAAGCTCCTGAACCCCAACAAGTACGTGAGGTCCATGGCGCTGGTGCAAGGCAAGCTCTTCTGCGGCTGCAACGACGGCAGCATTCAGGTCTGTGCTGCGCCGAAATCCTGAAACCTTGATAAGCATGGACCGAATGGGCAAGAAGCGCTGACCGTGGTCGATGGTGGCTGGCGTGGCATTGGCAGGAGATCGATCTGGCGAGCGGCACGTTGGGCGTGATCCAGTCCGGCAGCAAGAGGATCCTGGGCAAGGCGAGCCCGGTCTACGCCTTGCAGGTCCACGACGGGCTGCTCTACACCGGAAGCACGCCGTCGTCGTCGTCCGTGGACGGCGGCGGCACGTCCGTCAAGGTGTGGAGCTGCGCCAACTACGGCCTCGTCGGCTCCATGGCGACGGCGGCGGAGGCGCGGTCGCTGGTCGTCAGCGCCGACCTCGTCTACGTCGCCTCCAGGACCGCCGCCGTGGAGATCTGGTCCAGGGAGAAGCTCGCCAGGATCGGCACGCTGCAGGCGGGAGGGCCCGGGTGCCGCGTCCAGTGCATGGCCGTCGACGCCGACGGTGACGTCCTCGTCGTCGGGACGTCGGACGGCAGGATTCAGGTCCGGTGCACGCGGATTAATTCTTGCATTGGGCTCGTCTCGTGCTTAACTGAATGAACTCACATTAGCATTGTTTTTCTGGTTTGTGCTGCAGGCGTGGGGATTGACTTGACAAGACGAAGAATGATTTGGTGTACAGAGGAGGCGTGGAGGAAGGAGCTCATCAGAGTCAGATGATGGTGAATAAAATGTGGAAATACGAGTTGCATATGCCGATTTTTCTTTCTTTTTTGTCACCTGGCACGATTTTGCACGATCTGCTTAGTGTAAATATCGACCTTTTCATGACTCTATGATTATGATAATCAGCTAAAATAATTTAATTACCATCTAAACTGATTAAATTATGAGATGGATTATCATAAATCAAACCATCATACTACAGTAGTCCTATAATTCATTTCGGACTTGTTTTTAGTGATTACGAGTCAAAATACGCTATAATAACCTAGAAATCCAAACACTCATTATCACGATGAGAAGGAGGGGGTAGGGGACATATTCGGCGAGAAAATGTCCATACGGGAAACCGTGGACATCTACTTTGAATTCATGACACGTGTCCATGTCCAAAGGATTCAATGCATGGGCTGCTCGAAGAATTAAGTAGTAGTTAGGGAAAAAAATGGCACAACACAGTACCACAATCCTCCATGATCCTATGCCTTGAGTTTCTGATCATGCCGCATGGCTCGGACTAAAAATGGCAATAGGACCACGACCCGAGACCCGACGAGTATTTACTCCACTAGGGTCTGAATCTGGACTAAATACATCATCCATGAGTCTCTAATTGGGGGAAACATTCAACCAACGGGTACGCGGGTACTGGAACGTTCTATAGTCTCCATACCCGTTAAGCCATGGGTAAAAAATACATGGAGATCCAAATACATGTCCTAGCCCAATATCAAACTAGCCCAACCCAAATAAGGCAAACCCTAGGTATTTAAGCCAATCCCTCACTCCATTCATCCATTTTCCACCCCGCCCCTTGATCCCCTCCTGCTCTTGGCGGCTGCGTGCACACCGCACGAACTCACCGCTCATGGAGGATGCAGGGCACGACGACTGCGTGTCCGTGCCGCATGCCTCCGCCCGCGGCAGAAGGGTAGGCCGCGGCCACCTGCCGCTAGTCGCCTGGCGGACGCACGGCACATCATCCCGTCCCTAAGCCGTAATTGCTCCTTCTTCCTTCTTCCTACTCCCCATCCATTTCTCACTGCCAGAGCCAGCCGCCATGCCAGGGACCGCACAGGCACAAGCTAGTGTCGACACCATTTTCTTTCTCTTAACCTTTTCTATTACAGTTTGCAGCGTCCAGTTCACACCACTAGCTGCAACAACCCGTGGCTATCCTATTGTAAAGGGACATCGGAGTCGAAGATGTTGCCCACCTGTTGATGCCGTTGGATTCGGAGGACACCGACGCCGCGCTCACCAGATTGGTTTGTCCATTGTTTTGTTTTGTACTTTGGTTTTCTTTACTATGATTCTATCCTAATTGTTGGTTTCCTTTTTTTAGTTGATGTGAAGGAAAAACAAGCCACCTTCTGGTCTTGCCTCCAAGATACTCAAGAAGGTCTTCTGGTTAGTGCACATATCCAAATTAAACCGGTGTTGGGCCATCCTCCAACTCCTAGGTCTTGAGCTTCTGATCATGCCGTATGACTCATAGTCTCGGACACCATTCATTTCTGTCGATTATGGATTACGCTTTAACCCCGAACAATTGCATGGCACGACATTATACAAGATTGTATATTATAGAATACCAATATACTTGCCTGCTAAAAATGGTAAAGAGGCTAAAGATCAAGAGTGTAAACAAAGTCTTGGATCAGGTGGGGACTTTTCGACGCACCCCATCCCCCCCTAAAAATGTTGATATAGATGTCGATGATCAATCACGATTACTCAATGCGGCACATATGCAGGCCATGCTTGCACTCGTTCCAATTCTTATGCGCTAGCTTGCATAGCATTGCACGAGTTGAGATAGTAGTTCAGAGACAAAGGAGAAGACAACCACACAAAATGGGTTTATCCAATCCTCATGCGCCAGCTTGCATTTTTTTTTTTTGACAAGGACATACATAGCATTGTACAAGTTGAGAGATAGTCTTACCAAATGAGCTAGTTCAGAGACAAGAAGAAAGACAACCACACACGATGGGTTAATAAATGCTTGACACAGGCGCGACCAACCACATGACAGCCACAGGTTCGACCCTTCTCCGAACATGCGTTGGTCATGTGAGTGGTGGCGCCATGTCAAAGATCCATCGTGTGTGGTCCCCCTCCTCCTTGTTGTCACAAGTTGGACGAAGAAAGCGTCTTCCTCCGGGTACCAAACTGGTTCGGCCACCGTCATAGCTGCGGTGCTCGCCGGAGCCGAGCACGATCACTTGCACACGCACGCCAACGCAAAGAAGACGATAGAGTTTTTTGGCACGGCCAACCGCCTTTCCATGACCCTATCTTTTGCAACATAAATAGGCAAACGGCAACCGGTGGCCAACGGTCCACGGCGCGCCGCGCGCCATGTTCCTCCGCAAGCTGCGCCGTGCCATCCCCAATGCAATGCAAGATCCAGAGTCCAGACAATGCCGCGGCCACTCGTTCCCGCGTGAACACGCACGCATCCAGCGCACACACTCTGATTGTGATCCCGGCGCCAACGACCGAGTCCGACCTCACGCAAACCAGGAATAGCTACCAAAACAATTTCTTCTTCTTCTGAAAGATCGAACTTCCAAGATAAGGAGTGTGCCAGCCAATTATTACACATCATTTTCCTCCTTCTTCAGAGCTTGCTGGTTTTGTTGGCCAGGCAGGGGTCACCCACTGCCTCCCTACGGCAACCAGCTCGCCGGACTCCTTTTTGTGCACCTCCACCGTCGCAGCCGTTAGCTTCCCCTTCCGGCTCACCACTCGCCCCTCCACCTCCACCTCCGTCTGCGATGGAGGCCGGCCGGAGCTAGAGGTGAGCGCTCCAGCTCCAGAGGAGACCAGAGTTGCGGGTATCCAGACACAAAAATGGAAGGTTAATCTGGACGTACGTCGCGATCGGCCGGCGAGAAGTAGGACAAGCTGTAGTGGACGGTGGCCGTGGCCGCGCCCACCACCGTGTGCACCACCGCCGAGCACACGCAGTCCACCGCCGCCGCGATCGCTCCTGCGTGCCACCTCCCCTCCGCGTCCTGCACCCACGGCAAGCCAGTAGCCAGGCTCAGGTGCTCCGGGACAAAGTCAACCATCAGCCATGGTGGAGTTCAGGATTTGGACGGCCGGCACGCACGGCAACGGGGGCGCGCACGCGGAAGCGAGCAGACGACGCGGCCGGGCTCAGCGACGGCGACGCGCGCGCCGGCCAGCGCCGACGCCGCCGTCGTACCCCACGCGGGGGTCCTCCAGCCACTTCCTCGCCACGGCCACCAACCGCAGCGCCCGCGTCTCGCCGTCGCCGGCGTCGCCCATGTCCACGCCGCCGGCTGCGGCAGGCCGCGCGTTTGGAGGCTGGGATCGCTGCTCGCTAGCACGACCTTCTTCTATCTCACCACGTTTTCGAATGGCCATCTGAAGATTAGGTGAAGTTGCTTTGGAATGGCCATGGATATCTCGTTAGAGAAAAACACAACAGTGCACGCGTCGTTTTCAGTCAGCTGTATAAAACGCCATGGCATATCGAACAAAATCCACTAAAAAACGCTGCTAGCAATGCAACTGAAAGCGACGCAGAACAGAGCTGGGATTAACGCAGGACAGAGATGAAATTTTTCATCTTGCTTGCCAACGCATGATTAAATTAAAGGGGACATCAACACCACTAACATCTGGAACTGAATTTTCAACGAAGATTCAGATCTTGCTGAATAATTCTCAAGGAACTGATTGAATTTAAAGGAAGCTTCAGATCTTGCTCTGAGAGCCTTTGGGCCTGGAGGCCGTCATCCACTGTCTCCCGATGGCCACCAGCTGGCCGGACTCCTTCTTCCGAATCTCCACTGTCACCGCCGTCATTCGCCCTTTCTGCTCCACCACCCGCCCGTCCATCTCCACTTCCTCCTGGACACACAACATTTCAGTTCAGTTCAGTTCCTTCGAAACATAAAGCCTTCATGGCTTCTGTAATTGGCGCGATGCCGGCGCCCCCCTGTTATCTGTTACCATCACCGGTAAGCCCGGAATCCATGGTAATATATCAGGTGAGGACTCTTTTCGTCCCCCGTCGTTCCCATGAAAAAAGCATAAATACATGCTGAAAGCATCTCTGCGCAAGTGTGCAGTGCTGTTTTCTTAATACATGCAGAGAGTCTGAACTGAATACTAACTGTATGTTCATCAGAGAAAAAGAAGTAACACTACTCAAACCTGTCAAGAATCTGAAAAGGGTATGAGAGAGCCCTATCGAATACAATTTGTAAAGGTACAGGCAACTGCTTTGCTGAGTCATGTAACAGAAAACGACTGTGGATTTCTGAAAGGCTTTGGATTCCTTAACAAACTTCGGTTGTTTGGAAATTTCCTTGGAGGGAAACCTAACCACTGCCCTGTTATCCTATTCCTAGGTAGTAGTAACAGGGTTGCTTCTGGGAAACAAACTTCAAAAAGAAGCATGTCTACATGTGATAGAATAGAATGGCCAATCCTATTCCTGCTACCTTACAGGTTTGCTTTCTTGTGCTGAACAATAGCCAAAAGTTGCATCCACAGAAATGGTTATAAATAAATACAACGGAATATTAGCGAAGAACCGTCAGGACAGACCTCCTGCCCAACTGTTCAAAGAACAAATGCTGAAGACAAGAGAAGGTGCCCAAAGAATGAAGCATATTCCGGTTCTCTACCCATCTTATTAGCATGAAAAAAATGTGCAGTTAATGCTAACCAAGTGCTGGGTGCCCAGGAAATTAAAGCGGCTTTACTTGAAAGACCAGGCTCACCAAATTGGACAATGTAATATGGGTGATGCAGTCCACATATATATAGACTGAATTTCTGTGAAAGGCGTGTTATGAAAAAGAAAGATATCCCTCTTAACAATGACAACAAGTTTAATCTTCTCTCAGAACATTTCGGAGGAGTAATTTCATCAGAATAGGGGAAAAA